ACACGGAGATGGAGAGGAGCAAGTTGCTGCCGCCACCTCCTCCGCCCGCCTCGCTGAGGGTCAGCGAGGGCTGCAGGGCCAGTGTCTGGCACCCCGGGGGAGGTTCACTGTCACACCGCCCCTGTGTGTGTGCACAGCATTGCGCTGGGCGCCACAGAGAAACACAAAAGGGTCAGGAAGCCCTCCACGGCCGTGACCAAGTTGAGAACCACTGGAGATTCTGTGGCCTAATTTTCTAGACTTGGCTTTTGGGGGTCGGGATAGCGGAGACCGTCCTAGGGACTGGAGACCGTCCTAGGGACCTGCAGGCGGCTCTCTGTGCAGAAAGGGTCACACCTCCATCTCTTCTTGGCCCCTCCCTTACAGCTTTCGATAGCCAGGTGTCTATGGGGACCTTTCATGAGGCGAGGTGGTTGCAGCTCCTCAGATTAAGGGATCAGGGCCCGAGGCCTCTGGGCCTAGTTGTTGCCAGGGCAACGGTGAGTCAAGCCAAGGCCTCTCCAGCTTTCTGGAAAGTGTTTTGGCCACTGCAGCCTCTTGCTGCTTCCCAGGCATAGTGGGGTCTTCTAGATTTAAATTTAAAAATCCATTCTGCATTTGCGGCTTCTAGCTGGGTTCCTTGAATTGAGTATTTTGTTGTTGTTAAAGCATAATAGAATCTGACCCTTTTCTTTCTCTTTTCTACAAAAGGTAACTCCAGGCTAAAAGAATTTTTTTTTTTTTAATGAAGGAAGGAAGGAAGGAGAGTTAAACCAAACAGTAGGGATTGGCCTTTCCTGAAAACTCCCAGGAAGTGGGCAAGCCCTGGCCTTGAGGTTATTAGAAATAATTGTCATCATCGCCAAGGTTCACTAGGTCCCACCATGTCCCAGGCACTGTACTGAGTTCATGCTCACAGACCGTGTTTGATCTTGTGACAACCTGTGAAATCATGTATGCATGAAGTTCGGAGAGATTAAGCAATTAGCCCAAGGTCACCTGGTCAGAATTTAAACCTAAGTATGGGCTGTTCACTGCTCTTAAATACTGCCTCCCAGTTTCTTCAAGATGAATCCTTTATCTAAAAAAAAAAAAAAAAAAGCAAACAGGCCCCGGCTGGCATAGCTCAGGGAATTGAGTGGGAGCCTGCAAACCAAAGGGTCACTGGTTGGTCTCCCAGTCAGGGCACATGGCTGGGTTGCAGGCCAGGTCCCCAGTAGGGGGTGTATGAGAGATAATCACACGTCAATGTTTCTCTCCTTCTTTCTCCTTCCCTTCCACTCTTTCTAAAAATAAATAAATAAAATCTTTACACACACGCACACACCTTGGTGCTTTTCTTAAAAAAAAAAAAAAAGGCAAAACAGTGCTATTTCTCTCTGACGGGCAGCTCTACCTATCCTGTGGTCACTGTGTGTAAGCTCTGGACACCGCTGAAAGCAGACGGCTCGCTGGCCGGCCAGCCCAGCAACGCTGGGCCTGTGCCCCAGCTCTCCCGACCAGCAGCGAATGGATTGGCTGGTGCCAAGCACCAAGCCAGCCCCCCGTTTTGAATTGGGCCCCTCTCTTCTGGAGGGACTTTGGGAAGAGACTGTCTGTTAAGGCAAGGGGTTCCCTTTCTGCGTCTGTGATGCTGGGGTCTCAGGAGCCATTCAACAGCCAGGGAAGGAGCCGAGTGAAGGAAGACCACAAGGAAAATGCGCCTGAACTCTATAACCAAATAGCACTCAGACCCTGACTTGAAATCGTTCAGGCTTATACTACCTGTTGGGCTTCCCACCATTCCTTCCCCCACTACCGGAGGGATGTACTCACTGCTTCTCTTTGTAGGATAATATCCAAGGTCTCTAACTCAGACTAGGAGATAGAAGCATCACTACTGTCTACTAATGAGGGTAATAGAAAGTTGAATTTTAATGACAAAATGGGCCAGTGAAAATTACCCTCACTAGTCATGTTATTTTTTAAATAATGAAGAACAGGGTAATAAACTCCTTCCATTTAGAATCAGAAGAGTCTAGTACATGTATAACCTTTTAGAGGGGCACATTCAATCAGTTCTTTATTTTCAGGATGCACAAATACTGAAGCTATGCCCTCCAAGGATTGAAATTGATTGCATTTGGGCTAACTTCAATTAAGGAAATTAAACAGGTTATGAAATGGGACGTTAACTGTGCTTCTGCTGAAGGAATGGTCCAAGAATCACAAGGCTCCTTGATCAAATTTTCAGCAGGTAAATTATTTATGCCAATTCTAAAATCTAAGATGAAATGTTTATGCCTGTATTATCCTCATGGCATTGACTTTCATCACGGGACGTCAGCACATTCATTTTGCCTAAAGGTAAAGGCCATAAAGTGGTTGGCACAGGTACCCCGAGCAGTTTAATAACAAATGTCCTACTAACTAAAATGATTATTATTCCTTTTGCATGTTAACCCAGTGCTTTCCTTTGTTTATCTTGAAGTATCGCTGCCTCACCAAGCCAGAGGTTTGTGATACACATTGAAATAAGGTTAGAAAAAAATTTAATAACGTGTTTCAGAGTACCACTGAAAAAGCGAGTCAATACCCAAACCTGAGCACACCCATCTCCAGTATATTTTAATTCAAACAGTAGACATGTAAGAAGAAATAGACATGTTTTCCTGCGCAAACCTCTCCCAGTTCTGCAGAGTCTGAGAACAGCATAAACTGTATACAGACTTGTCTGGGTGTTCATTTTACCAAAAAGACTAACTCAGGTAATAATCGCACAACAGGATTTCAGAATTAATTTAAAACACTTTACCCCTAAAGGAAAAAGCCCGTTTGTTGGGTTGTTTTCTTACTGCAAAGGAATTTCAGAGTTCTAAACAATAAAAACTTACCTTAGAATTAAATTTCCAAGGAGCCCCTAATTTCTTCAAGAGATGGTATCAAGTTTTGGCCATAAATGTAACAGAAGAAAGAATTTTATTTTCCCTCCAGGATGCAGACTTTTAACCATCTCCACGCCTGTGAAATTCAGTGGATGATTAGAATTCATCCCTGCTCTATAGAAACTCAATCCCTACTAGTGTATTTTAGACTCTCTTTCCAATTCAGGACCCAAAATCTTCATCAAGTTTACCATGATTGGCCAAATTTTCTGTGCTTCACGTGTCAGGGTTTTTAAGCTTTTATTTTTAGCCTAGAATCTCTAGTTTAAATAAAACCACTTGCAGAAGCTATGTATGTAAGATAAGTGGAGCCAGAGGGGGCTGGAATTGGAGGGGGGGCAGCTAAACCCACCTGCCTGGCCATCCCGGCCCTGGGGGCTGCTCTGAGGGGGCGTCCGAGGAGGAAGCTGCTTCAACCCCCCTGCTCTGGCCAAGTCCTGCCCACCCTTCTCTTTTGCTTTACCTTTCCCCAGTCTCAGTCCAAACTCTGTATGTTTAATTTGAACTCAATGCTTTCATAGGACATAGGGTCTCAAGTATTTTTCTTCCTTTTAGGGTATACCTGCATTTCTACTCTCTATACCCTTTTCATCCTTGGCCAGATGGTCTCAGCAGACAGCGGGAGCCCTTACAACCTCACCCGTGAATCCAGCCAGCTGACACCCCCCCCCCAGAATTCCTGGAAGGTTGGGGAACAAGCAACACAGATGTCCAGAAAAGCCCTGTCAGAAGCCACAAGGATCCCCAAAGTTATTTTTTTACAGCAAAACGCCTACACTGGGAAGGCAAGGGAAGATCCAAGTAGCAAGTTACAGCCAGGAAGGACCCTGGGCCACACAAACCAACTGGGGGCAGCTTTGAGGGTCTGGATGGGCACACCGGGTGGTATGTGTGCTTGATGTCCCCAAGGGCAGGCTTCTGTTTCCCTGCTCGCTCCTGGGTCTGGCCCTGCAAGGTACTCAATAAATGTTAAGTGAATGGGCAAAAGATTCACAGGTAACAGTGCAGGGAGAGACACAGGTAGAGCCCCAGATCTCTGCTCCGTTGGGCTGCAGATGACCTTCTTCATTAAAGCTAATCCAAAAGCTTTAAAAGATATAATAAAAATGTATTTCATCATTTCCTCCAATAGTTCAGCTCAAATACTAGGTACAGCCCCAGGGACAGTACCGAGTCTTTTTACCAGTCTCAGGGTACCTGGATGATGACACTCGTCCCCGTCGGGGCTGCTGGGCCTTTGAAGGAGGGTCACTCAGGCCCCTGAGAAGGCATCCAGGGGCGGGTAGGCAGGCGGCGGAGCTGGACTGCAGGGAGATGGAGTCGCTGGCACGTCCCTGGCATCCAGGGCGCCCTCCCACCGGTGCTTGGCTGGCTGCAAGCTGTCACGTTGTGACTGGTCTGTTCGCACAGACCTTCTCTTGGTGTAAGTCGCCTTGCTCCGCCGAGCCTTCCTGCTCCTACCGCAGTGGCGCGCGTGCACCACAACTCTGGGGCGTCGGGACCCCCAGGAGGCGACCACCCGAGTCCCAGGCCCCCAGTCCTGGAGGTCCCCACGGAGACAGCCTTGTACTACCTCCTGGCTCCGTCTCTTCCTGCCCGAGACTCCATCTACCCCCTCGGGGTGGGGTCCGAGTGAGCACCTGTGAAATGGGGGCACACCGTGTCTGTCTCCCGGGGGCGCGGTGGGCGATGCTGCGGGACGACGGAGGCTGGGACTAATAAGCACTATAAAATTTTTAATTAAAATATGTCTGCAGATTTACATTTTAAAGAAGTGTGTATGTGTTTTCTAAATTTAATTTTTAACGACTTGAATTTTTTTAATTCCTCGATCCGAGATACCCCTCGCCATCCCGCGGACCGGAGGAGCGCGCTCCCGCCCCGCCTCTCGCTCCGGGCGCCCGCGCCACGTGGGGCCGCCGGGCAGTGCTGCCCCCTGCCGGCCGGAGCCGGGAGGCCCGGAGGCCGGCGCCGCACCTGGCCGCCCGCGGCCGCTCTAGGAACGCGGGCCTCTCGGTGGTGGCGCGGGGTCGCCGTCGCGCGCCCAGGAAGGGGCCGTCCCAGGAACGCCCGGGTGGGCTGCGCGGTGGCCCGGCCTCGGGCGCAGTACCGGAACCGTGCTGCTGCGCCCCAGGGACCAGCCCTTCCTCCCGCGCTTTCTTGTTTCCTCCCGCGCCTCGCCCGATGGGGCCCGCGCTTTGTGCAGATGCAGAGCTGGAACCAGGCGGTGTGGACACAAAGGCAGGGCCTTAGGGTTGTGCAGAGTGCGACGGAGCTGAGACGAGCCCCACCCGGAGAGCGCAAAGCAGTGCCGGAGTCGCGGGGACCAAGAAGGGAGGGCCCCTGGAATTTACCCGAGAGTCAGGCTTTATAAAAACCCTTTCCCGGCAGCGGTTCATTTTAACAACTGTCCTCAAGCTCCAGTCGCTTAAGCCAGGGGCAGATGCACTTACCCCACGTGCAGGTGGGTGGACTTTGAGAAATGCCCCGGACCTCTTCTGGTCCCTAAAATATTTTCAGGTATTTGTCTACTTATGTCCAAGAGGTGGACTTGCCCTGTCAAAGGACATGGACTTCTTTTTTTTTTTTTAAGGCTTTTGATGCGTGTTGCCCAACCCCTTCCTCCAGAAGGTCCCTCAGTTCATATTTGTTCTCCGGTGGGTACCTGCAGCCAGAGATGAGAATTGAGAAGGCAGTTCCAAATTCTTGAGGGGGGGGGTGCTGAGACTTGGGGGTAAAATCCAGAACATCCTGAGGGCGCCGCAGGCCCTGCCTGCCTCTCTAGCCCTATCTTGGGCTGGGTATTAGTTAGTTTCCCTAGGGCTGCCATCACGAAGTACCACCAACTGGAGGATGGTCTTACACAACAGAAATGCATCCGCAAGAAGTCCCGAATCCAGGTGCCCTCAGGGTTGGTTCTCAGTAGAGGCTCTGAAGGAGAGTTTGGTCTATCCCTCTCACCCAGCTTCTGGTGGGGGTCAGTACTCTTGGCGTCTCTTGGCTTGAAGACACATCACTGCCGTGCCTGCCTCCATTGTTAACTGGCTTTTTCCATGTGCGTTGCTATCTCTGTGTGTCATAAACAACAGTCACACTGCATTAAGGGCCCACCTACTCTGGTGTGACTTCATTGTCATTTAATTCGTTACATCTGCAATGACCCTGTTTCCAAGTACGGTCACCTTCTGTGGATCCTGGGAGGACTTAAGTGGGAAGACACTATGTAACCCACAGAAGGCGGTGTCCCTGACTCCAGCATCCTGGTCTCCCCAAGGTGGTGGCTCAGGCTCCACCCACACTGCCTGGACCTCCTGGGCTAACTAACTGCCTTTTATCCTGCAAGGTGTTGTGGAAATGTCACTTCCTCAGAGAAGCTCTCCCAACTCCACAGGCTAGGGTCCTGTGAAGTTGGTTTGTGTGTGTGTGTGTGTGTGTGTGTGTGTATACATACAGTATATACACAGGTAATACACAGTATATATATATATATATATATATATATATATAGTCTTTTTATTGTGTTTATTTTAAAATATATTTTATTGATTATGCTATTACAGTTGTCCATTTTCCCCCTTTATTCCCCTCTGCCCTGCACACCTCCTCCCACCTGCATTTCCTGGCTTTAGTTTATGTCCTTTGGCTTCTACATGTCCTATACTGTCCTTAATATCTCCCTGTCTATTTTCTACCTACCATTTATGCTACTTATTCTTTTGCCTTTCCCCCCTTTCTCCCCCTCCCCCTCCCCTACTGATAACCCTCCATGTGATCTCCATTTCTGTGATTCTGTTCCTGTCCTAGTTGTTTACTTAGTTTATTTTTGTTTTAGGTTTGGTTGTTAATAACTGTGAGTTTGTTGTCATTTCACTGTTCATATTTTTTATCTTCTTTTTCTTAGATAAGTGCCTTTAACATTTCATATAATAAGGGCTTGGTGATGATGAACTTTAACTTGACCTTATCTGGGAAGCACTTTATCTGCCCTTCCATTCTAAATGATAGCTTTGCTGGGTAAAGTAATGTAGGTTGTAGGTCCTTGCCTTTCATGACTTGGAATACCTCTTTCCAACCCCTTCTTGCCTGCAAGGTTTCTTTTGAGAAATCAGCTGACAGACTTATGGGAACTCCTTTGTAGGTAACTGTCTTCTTTTCTCTTGCTGCTTTTAAGATTCTTGCCTCCCTTTGCCACCCTTTCATCTTGGGTAATGTAGTTATGATGTGCCTTGGTGTGTTCCTCCTTGGGTCCACCTTCTTTGGGACTCTCTGAGCTTCCTGGATTTCCTGGAAGTCTATTTCTTTGCCAGATTAGGGAAGTTCTCCTTCATTATTTTTTAAAATAAGTTTTTAATTTCTTGGTCTTCCTCTTTTCCTTCTGGCACCCGTATGATTCGGATGTTGGAACATTTAAAGTTGTCCTGAAGATTCCTAAGCCTCTCCCCATTTTTGAATTCTTGTTTCTTCATTCTGTTCTGGTTGAATGTTTCTTTTTTCCTTCTGGTCCACACCCTTGATTTGAGTCCCAGTTTCCTCCCCATCACTGTTGCCTTCCTGTACATTTTCCTTTATTTCACTTTGCATAGTCTTCATTTTTTTCCTCTAATTTGCAACCATATTCAACCATTTCTGTGAGCATCCTGATCACCAGTGTTTTGAACTGTGCATCTGATAGGTTGGCTGTCTCTTCATTGCTTAGTTGTATTTTTTCTAGAACTTTGATTTGTTCTTTCATTTGGATCTTTTTTTTTTTGGTCTTGGCATGTCTGTTATGTAGTGAGGGGAGGAGCCTTAGGGGCTCACTCGAGTGAGGCAATGCTGTGTTGTGACGCTGTATGTTGGGGAGGTGTCCAAAAGGGAACAGGCTCTCCGCTGGCTTTTAGTCACTTCTCCCACTACCCACAAGCAAATTGGGCCCTTCTGGTGCTGATTCCCGGGTGGGTGGGTTTGTTTACCTTCTAGGACCCTGTGGGTCTCTCCAACGAACTCTCCTGTGATGCTGGGACTTTCTCCAGGTGCTGCAACCCCCACAGGTTTTTTCAGTCAGAGATTTGAAGCTTTATTTCCCGGCGCTGAAACTCTGGGTTGCGTAGTCTGCCTCACTCCCCAGTTATTCCTCGCGGTTTATTTGCACACGAATGTGGGACCTCCCAGTCCTCCACCCGCTGCTTTGCTTCGAGTCCTCTCCACCCAGCTTCTGGACTCCGCCCTTCCTACCCATCTGGATGGATGTTTCTTCTTTAACTCCTTGGTTGTTGGACTTCCATACAGTTCGATTTTCTGTCAGTTCTGATTGTTTTTTGTTTTTAAATTTGTTGTCCTCCTTTTGGTTGTCCGAGGAGGCACAAGGTGTCTACCTATGCCGCCATCTTGGCCAGAAGCCCTTCACTGGTTTTTCTAATTTTTGAAAGTAATACATTGTATGCAATAAAATTGGAGACTGTAGAGAAGCAAAAAGGAGAAAGTTTAAGGAGTCGCCCATCATCGCCCTATTTATGTTTAGCCCTGGTCTTTACACCATGGAGCAAACAAGGCAAGTGTGAGTGTCTCAGAGAGGAACTGCATGGCCGCCCGCAGGCCGGCATCAGGGCAGCGAAGCAGGTAGGTCGTGGCCGTCTTTCATTGAATCTGCACATTTACTATGGTGGACCTGCAGGTCTACCTTCCAGGGGCTCAGTCCTTGGGGCTGTTTTGGTCTGGTGTTAGTAAGTGGCCTAATATCTCCTAGGACAAGTCCTCCAAAGCTGCGTTGTTATCGTCACCGTTTTCTCGGCTTCTGACCTCGGTTTTGTTTGGGGGATCAATGCTCCACCTTTTGTGGACGAGGCCTGTCTTTCCTTCGTATCTCAGGTCAGCAGTTTTAAAAAGGCACAACTTGAACTGAATGAAGGACTAAGGAGGCCTGGGCGGTAGGCTGGGAGGGCGGGTGGGGAGGAGGGTGGAGAGTCAGGAAGAGGAAACACAGCATGAATAAGAGAAGGAGGACAGAAAGAAAGGATGGATGAACGAAAGACAAGTAGGTGAGATGCACCAGGCCCTCAGACCCAGAGCTTGGGTGGGGAAGGGGTCCAGACCACCTGGGTTTTCTCATCTAGGCAACAGGAGGGTCCCTGCTGTCTCCCGCTGTGAGCTAAAGATTGTGACCAAAGCATCAATTATGGGTTGGGGTTCCCATGAGAAAGGCCGGTTTGGAGTGACAGACATGAAGCAGAAGACTCAGAGGCTGTGATGGTTTATAGGGTCTGGGTGTGGCGTTATAAGTATGGAGGTGTGAGGAAGTATATATTGCTGGGGGTATAGCTCAGGGGTAGAGCATTTGACTGCAGATCAAGAGGTCCCTGGTTCAAATCCGGGTGCCCCCTGTGTGTCGCTTTTGCCCAGACTTCAGGCTCCCATCAGCCTTCCCTGGTGGGTGGCTCCAACATCCCCTCTAGAATAAAACTGGGACCCACCCTGTCCTGCTGCAGCACAGGGACTCCCTCCTGCCTCTGTGCCCTCTGTCGAGAGGTGTCTTCACATTCCTATTTCATCCTCACAGGAAGCCTGTGAGATAGGAGTTTTCATCAGGGGTCCCCACCTCACAAGAGAGGAAACCAAGGCAGTTCAGTTCTAAGATGAAGGACTGCTGGGGTGTGGTGTGCGGCGTGGTGACTCTGGTTAGCAGCACTGTGGTCTGTGTTGGAAAGTTGCTGAGAGAGCAGGTCGTCCCAGCTCTCATGGGCGTTAGCTAGACCGAAGGGATTGCTTTTCACTTCATAATTTTTTTCAGTTTTATGGAAATATAATTGACATGGAACATTGTAGAAATGTGGGTGTGAAACATACTGATTTCATATTTGTATATATTGCAAAATGATCGCCGCAGTAATAACCGTCTTAATTTCTCCCTGTGTGCTAGTTGGTACATTTTCAATTCTGTGCCATGCGAAGGCATTGTCATATAAAAGCCAATGAATTTGCAAATGTAGATCAGCTCAGTTCAAGGGCTCTGGCCCCCAGAAGCCTTTGTCGGATGCTTGCCAGGCACAGGCTTCAGTCCCCCGTCTGCTTTTCTGGGCAACTCCATTATGAAGGTGTGGAGAGAGACTGCTGGTTGTCACGGGGCGGGGAGAAGCACTGGTCCAGAGGCAGCAGAGCCCTGGCACCCATCCTCAAGGGCAGCTGAGTCGGAGCAGGATGAAGTGGAGGCTATTGACTTCTTGATTCCGTTGCTTCCTCTTTGTGATTGGGGGCAAGTTGCTTCAGTCCCCTGTGTCACCGTCATCTGTGATGAGGATGGTGACGGTGGTGCGCGTCCAAGTAGTTCTATCACAAATCATTTTTAAATGCATTTATATGAAGCTTTTAGAATAGTTTGCCTCACTTGTTATAAGCACTTAATGCATATTAGGTGTCATAGTTGTGACAGGTGTCTTGGGTGTGGCTCCCCCATAGAGAAGTCCTAAGGAGGCCCATTCATTCCAGCAGGGGGTATAGCTCAGGGGTAGAGCATTTGACTGCAGATCAAGAGGTCCCCAGTTCAAATCTGGGTGCCCCCTATTATTATCCCAAATTTACCTTTACTCTGCTGGGTTTCCTGGTGACGTGTGCTTTATGCTGCCGTTTATGTTTATATGTAAAGAGTCAGGGAGAGCCTATGCTTTAATGACTCACATATACAGATCATCTAGCTCAGTTGGTGGAAGACTCATCCCAGACACTGAAAGGTTGCAGGTTCGATTCCCAGTCAGTGCACATACCTAGGTTGCAAGTTCAATCGCTGGTCAGGGTACATACAGAGGCAACGAATCAATGCTTCTCTCCCCACCCCCCACCCCCGCCCCACCCACAATTCCTCTCTAAGAACAACAAAAACATATCCTTGGTGAAAATCTTTTACAAAAGAAAAACAAAAGAAAGCATGAACATGGGTTTCCTGCAGGAGAGGCTTGTAAGATGAGTGAGAGGGAGAATTTTTACTGTATATATTTAATTTATTTATTATGATGGGTTTTTTGGTTTTATATTCGCAGACAGTTGAGAGGAAGATGCAGAGATCCCATAGACCCCTGCCCCTCCCACATACACAGCCTCCTCACTGTCAGCGTCCCTCCCCAGAGTGGCACATGTCCCAGTGGGTCAGCCACTGGCGTGTCATTGTCACCCAAGGCCATAGTCGACGTTAGGGTTCGCCCTTGGAGGTGTGCGTTCTGTCGTCATGCGTATGACGGCATGTAGACGTCAGTATGGTGTCGCACTGAGCCCTGTTTCACAGCCCTGAAAATCCCCTGTGCTCTGCCCGGGCGTCTCCTCAAAACCCCACCCCCTGACGACCGCCGATCTGTTGACTGTCTTCGTAGCTTTGCCTTTTCCAGGATGTCATACAATATGTAACCTCTTCGGATTGGCGTTTCTCAGGGATAATGCACAGTGAGGGTCCCTCCACGTCTTTTCGTGGCTCGTCAGCCCGCTCCTTCGCAGCGCTCTGGAAGGCCCGCTGTCTGCATGTTCCCCGGCCTGTCTACTCGTTCCCCTGCTGAGGGGCCGTTTCTTCCCACTGCACGGCTTTTGTGCCTTTTGAGCGTTGTGCCATGTGAATTCTGAGATTCCAGTGTTTATTTTCACAAATGCAATGGAAAGCTTAAAAATAACCAAGTTACATGAGGCATCACCCACCGAAAGGGTGGGGAACCCAGCCTGGGTCTCTCTGGCCTGTCTTCCCCTTTCCTGCTGTGTTTTGCAGGGGTCTCGAGTCTGTGATGGGTGCTCAGGTTCACGCCTCACCCAGGTCTGCTCAGGCCACATGGAGGCGGACAGTTCCCCAGGCCTCCGTCCCCCTGGGGGCTGAGCCCAGGACCTGCAGCCAGGCCTTCCCAGTTCTGCCGGGGCCTCCCCAAAGACTCTGTGCTGTTGGGAGTCTGCCTTCTCCCCAGCCCAGACCTGCCTTCCTGTCTGGGGGGCTCCAGCCAGCACTTCTCCAGCGAGGTCCGCCTCCCTCCGCCTCGGAGACTGGGCACGACACCTACTTCCGCAGCCTACCCAGCCTGGAGATTTCATTTTACTTGTGCGAACACACACTCACAGCAGACAGAAAACAAGGAAACTCTCCAAGACCTGCTGGAGCCTCATTCAGTGGGCATAGGAGCCTATGAAACAGGCTCCCAGTAGCCAAAGATGAGACAGTTTGAGGATGAAAAAGACCAAGGGCAATTGATTGAAACTCATAAAACATGCATTTAAAAAAATCCATTGATTCACTATGGTATATATTTTTTAAAGCTCCGACTAGTCAGATTTGAAGGTTGTTGCTAAGGCAGCAATTTATCATTCTGAAAACTCACAAAGAAAAGGACAGAATCAAGCGTTTCTTCTGTACTTTCTGTACTAACTATATTCTCGCAGAACCAAATGCCTATTTAAAAAATTGAGTTAGTAGAGATCAGGAATTCGAATAAAACCCTGTGCAGCTCCTAATGAAATAGAGGGCGTAAGCAAGTTCCACCAATGCCTGGGAAAGCCGTGAGGTGCGTGTTTGACGGGGAAGCTTACAATGCAGTTAACACCTCGGCGCGCCATCCAATCATGAGGAGGGCACACAAGTATTTGGTTAAACATTATCTCGGGGTGTGTTTGTGAGGGCGTTTCTGGATGAGATTAGTTGGTGTCAGCCATTCAGCGAGGGCCTGAACCGAACAGAAAGGCAGGAGAAGGGCCCACTTGCTCTCTGCCCGTCTGCTTGAGCCAAGATAGCGGTCTTCTGCCTTGGACCGGGGTTCACAGCATCCACTCTGGTCCTTGGGCCTTCAGGCTCTGGCTGGAGCCTCGTGGGGCTGCGGAGGGCAGGCCACGGACCTCTCAGCCTCCGTAATCACATGAGCCAGTTCCTTATTCTCTCTCTCTATATATAAATAATATACAATGATATATAATTGGTTACATAAGTTCTATATGTATATAATCAGTTATATAAACTCATATATATAGTTATACCCATTTATATATAAATGGTCATATATTTTTATCTATATACAATCAGTTATATAAAATTATATATAGTTATACCAAATTTATATATGTAATTGGTTATATAAATTGTATCTATATATGATCAGTTATATAAAATTATGTATATATGTGTATATATAAAAAAATATATAACCTGGCTGGTGTAGCTCAGTGGATTGAGCGCGGGCCTGGGAACCGAGCGACCATGGTTCGATCCCCAGTCAGGGCAAATTCCTGGGTTGCAGGCCAGTTCCCAGCAGGGGACTCAGAAGAGGCAACCATACATTGATATTTCTCTCCCTCTCTCCTTCCCTTCCCCTCTAAAGATAAATAAATCAAGTTAAAAAAAATATATATATATATATAATTGGCTCTGTTTCTCCGGAGAACCCCAACACATATACATATAGACACCACCACTTTTTTCTGTATTTGAGATTTTCCGTAATAACAGGGAAAAAATTTTCTTTCTCGTAGATACATATGTTTATAGACAATGAAGGAAACTATGCTAATTAAAAAACACTGTTTTCATTTCTGGTTCTGGCTTGGTTTAGTTTTGCATTTTGCATTAAGAAACTGAACTGGTGTTTCAGGGGGAAAGTCCTGACCCGTCTGAGTGCCACGGAGATGGCCGACATTTCCAGAAGGGACTTCGTTGAGAAGGAAGAAGAAACACAGGCGCACACTCAGAACCGGCCCCTGTCGTTTCTGGCTCATCAGCAGCGTCACCAGCATCACAGGGCTCGCTGACAGACGAGGGCACCTTGGCGGGCACCAGCCGCTAGGCCAGGTGGGCTCCTGCCTTGCTCTTCGGGGGAAGGCACTTACCTCTGCTTCTCTGGGGGTCCTCACACTTTTATTTATATTTTGGGATGAAACTGGAGGCTTCTACCACCCTGTACAAGTGAAACTAGAATCAGCACCCAGGGGTAGCATTGGCCATCAGAAGTGACATGAATAGACATGTTTATGAGCAGAAACCCTCAAAGTGACTTCTCCGAAGGGACTGTCAGTAAGAGTGAGCTATGACCTAATTAATTGTATTGCAACCAGATAGCCTAACACCACGGAGGTGAACTGGTATCTCCCGAATGTATTAGAAGGGAAATCAGACAGGAAGGAACTGGCTGATGTTTCATCTGACGCTGCCTCGCAGACAGAGATCGGATTCGATCTGTGTTGTAGCGAGAGTTCTTGCAACGTGGTCGCAGATTTCAGTTCTGGAGTCGGACTGTCCTGGGCTTCAGAGAACCGAACTTCTCTGAGCTTCCCCACCTGTAAACCGGGGATAATGATCGCCCCTTTCCAGAGGGTTGATGTGCAGACAAAAGGAGACAGCTCGTGGGAAGTGTTCGGTTGTAGGGCGGCCCCGCCACGGCTGTCTTGGAAGGGTGAGGAGGAGTGGGGTCATGGAGGAGGGATGGGGGGGTCTTCCTACAGTGCAGGTGTAGTGGTCACCAAGCCTCCTAGGGCTTGCTATCCAGCCCCTCCCCCCATCTTCCCAGGTGAGTCTTTTGCCTGTAACTGCAGGGAAAGGACGACCCTGTAGAATGCACAGTGTCAGTGTCAGCTTTCAAATTCCAACAATCTGTGTGCTGGGCGACTCAGGGACTGAGACTGGCACCAGAGCAGAAAACATTGTGCCAGAACAGGACAGCCATAGGGGATGTGCCAATGCTGGCAGTGCCAGGGAACCGAGCAGGAGATGCTGGGGACCCCAGCGTGGTATCAGAAGGTCCTGCACTCACAATGTGACCGAGACAACATGGAGGACCAGTGCCCGCCCGCCCACGGCTGCAGTACCCTAAAAAGCCCCTTCAGAACTCAGCTGCAACACGGGGCAAATTGTGGGGTTTCACAGGGGTTGGGACATTAGATCTCTGCCACTTAGCATAATGGGACACGAATCAGAGGTCACACTGGTTTGTAGAAAAATTAAATTCTATACCTTCCACCCCTCCATTGGTGGATGAAGATTTGTACACACAGAGCAGGTCACCGAGCCGAGATACCGGGTGGAGGAGAAGGGATGTGCGTGTTCTGGACACAGAGTGAGAGCACTCAGTGACCTGCAGGGAGTGAGGACGCTGAGGTCCCCAGCTTGGTGCACGTAGATGTTCTGGGCTCTCGAGAACGGACAGTACTTTGGAACGGGAACAGCTCATACAAATTTTCTGGGCCTGAGAAAATACCCTCCAGAGGATTCAATTCCATTGCTCCAGCTGCAGCCTCGCCAAGCAGCCCTCTGATAGCTCATTTGGTTTCCCGGGTAACCTGGAGGGCATTCTGGCTTAAGCATTGCCTTGGAGAGTCTGGTGAGGGAGGTCTCGCGAGCCAGGTCAGACCGGGGTCAGGGTCTGGGGCTGTGAGTCCCGAAGTCACGCTCCGCACCTTGATGGTTGTGCCAGTTCCGAATTTTTGGACGCTTTTCTGAAGCTGATTGTTAACACTCCAGTGAGGGGCCGAGTGGAGGTTGTAACATTGCAGGACTGTGGAGGCGAGGAGGGGGGGTGTGAAACAGTGTAGGGGCCAGCACAGGAGACCCATCAGCACTGAGTTACCGCTGCGGACCGCTGCCCTGGACCACCGTTCCAGGGGTTGGTCTTGAGCCTGGTATGTTCACTTTAAGGAATTGCTCCTAGGGAAATAATGAGACTGGGCAACGACGTGTGATTGTGTTCATCAAGGTCTTTAGAAGCCTGGCGGTATTCTGCCTGCCAACACTCTAAACTCATTTTTTTTTTTAAAGAAAGGCCGACTGCCACATGCCAGGCCATGTGGCGTCTTAGAAGCTTGAGAAACCTACTTTCTCCTACAAGTGGCCTCGAGGGCGTGTATGCAGGTTCTAGCTCCTCAGATGCCCTTGGCCAAAGAACTGTCCTCCTTGGCCGGGGTAGGCCAATCGCACTTCAGAATAATCTAAACTGAAGAGCAGAAATCTTACCCAATACTACCACGTAACTGAGAGAGCCCCAAGCAGATGAAGACCTGGCTCAGGGTTGGAGAAGTGTAAGTGCAAAGAGTTGGGCTGCAGCTTTTTAGTCAGGTGCCTGCCCTGGGAGCTGCTGATTGGTCCCAGGCCTTGGTCCCTGGGAAGGGAAACTGAAACAGAGAGTGGGAGGTGGGGACAAAGGAAGGAAGGAAGGGAGGGAGGGAGGGAGGGAGGGAGGGAGGGAGGGAGGGAGGAAGCGAGGAAGGGAGGGAGAGAAAGGAGGAAGGAAACATCTTAGATATATTTTTTAAATATTTATTTATTTTTAGAGAGAAGATAAGGGAGGGAGAAAGAGAGAGAAACATCAATGTGTGGTTGCCTCTCACATGCCCCCTACTGGGGACCTGGCCTGCAACCCAGGCATGTGCCCAGACTGGGAATCGAACTGGCGATCTTTTGGTTTGCAGGCTGTCGGTCAAGCCACTGAGCCACACCAGCCAGTATCTAAGAAACATCTTAGATACTAAGAGAATGGGTAGAATTCCAGCTGGACCAGTCATAATCATCATAATAAGTCTAAACACTAAGTACACAGACCCTGATAAAAGGGAGCAGCTTCTGACAGGTGTGGAGGTGGGTGCCCAGAGCAGCGGCTCACGCAGCTCCCCAGGGAGACAGGTGATGGTAAGAGCAGAGCTTGGGAAAGACTGCGGTTATGAAGGTATCTTTACTAAGAAAGGATAATGCTGGGGGTGTAGCTCAGGGGTAGGGCATTTGACTATCGATCAAGAGGTCCCTAGTTCAAATCCAAGTGCCCCCTATGCCCTTTGACTTGTGCTCCGGTGGAAGTGTAGCTCCAGGCTATCCCACAGGCCCAGTCTGGTGGGATGTAAATTTTCAACATGTGTTAGAGACCTAAGTGTCTCTCCTGTGACCCTCCTTGTGCCTTTCATTTTTACCTCCTCAGCCATACTCCTTTGCTGGAGGGGCAGAGGAAGTCTGTCCTAGGCTTCCTCTGTGCTTCTCCGGTGTGTAATTACCACCATCCTGATTTTATTTGTGTATGCCAAGCTTCCTTCAAAGAAAAAATAGCATCTGAGGCAGCTCGCAATAAAAGACGCAGTAAAAGCCCAGCGGATAGAGCAGGTATAAAAAGGCAAGGGCTGCTGTGTATGAGCCGGTGCAAGTCATGGAGACGGAAGGAATCACGAGAGCCAGGGGCTGGGGGTGGGAGGAGGCGGAGTCGTTGGTCAGTCCAGATGGTTTCTGTTGGGAAAATGACACATTTCTGGAGATGGATGGTGGCCATGGTCGCACACCATGATGAATTAGTTGACACCACTGAACCGCATGCTGAAAAATAGTATGTGTGTCTTACCGCAGTTCTACACATTGAAGGAAAAAGGAAAAGCAAGGTCTGGTTGTTTAGGAGAGGAGGTAAGTAAATATTCCTGAGCCCAGGTTGGGAGAGGCTACCACTGCTGAATACAAAGCTTAGCGCTGAGCTTCCTGGCGTTCGAACAGAAGTGAGAACAGGGTAACTCGTCCACTTAGTAGAATGTTTTATTAGCTCTGAAAAAGAGCAGGGACTTACACCACAGGTGTTTGCAAGGCCCCACGGAGAGTCAGTGGTGACCGCCAGGGCAGCGGGCACAGTCCACCGGTTCCAATACATAGTCCCCTACAGTGGCACAACCTACTGACCTTAGTAATTGGCCACACTGGATCCCTTTTACAAAACAACAGGATAGAGCAGACAGGGTGGTTTTATAACAACAGAAAGTTATTTCTCACAGTCTGGAGTTTGGAAAGTGCACGATCAAGGTACCGGCACATCCTGTGTCCCGTGAGGACCTGTTTCCTGGTCACGGACATGCTGTCTTCCTGCTGTGTCCTCACGCGCCCAGAGAGACGAGAGAGCTCTTCTGGGGCCTGTCCCGCAAGGGCACCGATCCCATCCCGGAGAGTTCTACCCTAATCACCTCCCAAGTGACCCCCCTGGACGTGTTAATTTGGGGGTGCCACAAACACCCCATCTGTAATACATGTCTGTATGGCCCAGGAAAGGATTTTTTAACATGCCCCCAAATCACAAATCATAAAAGATAAATTCGATATCTAAATTTAAATTTTCATAAGACAAGAGAAATTCCTTAAACAAGAGACTTTGAATTTTGCAGCCATGTAAAATGGAGAATGGATTCGTACCGGAATATGAGCCAGATGAAAAGGTCATGGAGGTCTGTCACAAACAATGCGGACAAACTTCACACTCCTGAACTGTCCGCTTAAAAATGGCTTAGATGGTAAATTCTGCATGTTTTTTACTTCAATTAAAAAATTTGTTATTTTTATGTTTATTTTAATTGTTGTTCAAGGACAATTCTCTGTCTTTTACTCCCATCCCAGCCCACCCCTTAAAATTATTTAAAAAAAAATTTCTATATAGAAAAATATAGCCCAGGAAAAGAATAGAAAAAGACAGGTTCAATAATTCACAGAAGAGGTTTTCTATGCCAAATAAATCTATGAAAAGGTGCTCAATTTTGCTAGAAATGAAAATTAATTAAAACAATAGAGAGGCACCATTTTCACTCCCCTCCCAAAACTTAGGGTACATTCATGTTTTACTAGATCAAGAGTTGGTGGGGGAAATGGTGTTCTCATCTGCTCGCAATGGGAGTACAATCGGTACACTCACTCTGGAGGAAATTTGGGCAATAAAAATAGTAAAGTAAAATTACAACAATTACATAACACTGTGATAGTAACATTAAAAGTGTGCCTACAATCCAGGAATTTCATTTCAGGGGTGAAACTGCAGCAGAAGTGAATCAAGAGACGTGTCCAAATCTGTT